ACAACCCAGAATCAATTATGTTTTGGATATGAAGTGTCCCCAGGAGGCTCATGTGTTGAAGCCCTGGTCCCCCCACTGGTGGCATTACTGAGAGGTGCTTAGGTCATGAGGGTGAGGACAGCTAGGTTAAGCTGTTGATGAGTTCATACTGAATGGAGTACTCAGAGGTGGGGCCTGGTTGGAGGAAGTGGGTCACTGGAATAGTGTTTTTGAAGGAAATATCTTGTCACCAGCCTCTTCCTGCTTTCCTTTCTGCTTCCTGGCAGCCATGAGGGGAGCAGATCTACTCCCTGCCCTTCCCCCATGATGCTCTGCCTCACCACAGCCCATTAACAATGGAACCAGCCAAGCATGGACTGAAGCCTCTAAACTATAAACCAAAACAAACCTTTCCTCGTTTTAAGTTGATCATCACAGGTATTTTATTTCAACAATGGAAAGCTGACTAAGCAAGATGCCTTCCCTAACTTTCATCCTCTAACTAGAAGGATATTCTCGTTGTACTTCCTAATGCCATGCATTTCTCTCTCTCTCTCTCTCTCTCTCTCTGAGACTAGGGTTTGAACTCAGGGTTTTGAGCTTGCAAAGCATGTGCTCTTCTACTTGAGCCACCTCCATCCCATTTTGCTTTGGTTATTTTGGAGCTATGGTCTTGAGAACTATTTGCCTGGGCTGGCCTTGAACCAAGATCTTCCTGATCTCAGCCTCCGAAGTACTAGGATTACAGGCATGGGCTACTGGTGCTCAGTTTGCCTTTATCTCTTTAAAGACACTTGACACATTTGATTTCTTTTTGGTTTTGCCTGCTGATTTCCCTTATTTGACTGTGGTTTCCTTTAGGATATTGTTCTTCACCTGTAACCCCAGAACACACAGTAAACTCTTAACAGCTATTTGCTAGTCAAACTAAGAAGCAGATGAGGGAATTGACTAGGCATCATCAGCTCATGGGTGATGTATCAATAAGATCTCTTGTGGATACAAGTTGCAGAACCCTTCTACTTTGACTGGCTCTATTGGTTCATGTGATTGAAAACTCTGGGTATTATTCCAGCTTCAGGTATTGTTGGATTGAACAGATTGCCCAACTCCACCAAGATATTTCTCTTTTTACCTGTCCGTTATGCTCCTAGAGGTTCTAAGAGGTTCTCGCCTCATGGCAAAAGATGGCTGATGGGCATTTCCCAGATTCCAGTTAAGATGGTCAAAGATTCCAGCCAAGAAAAACCCTGATTGGTCAAATGGAGGGTAAATTGTCCCTGAATGCCATGTTGTGGGGAGGGGGTCTGTGTCCAACCCTAAACTAATCACTGTGGCCCATGGATAGGACTCAGTGATTGGCTGGGGTTTGGGTTGCTTGCTGAAATTGTGGAATTGGGGGCTGTGGTTGGATTAACACCAAACATGAGGCTGAACGTGGAAATTCCTGAAGCACTCTCAGGAGTCCACATCTAACACAAAAACAAGAAAATATGCCCTGCTGCACAAGAAAAGTCCCGGGATGAGTTTATTCCAGTGCTTCTTTTATAAAAGTGGACATTTCAAGAACCATGGTCTCAAGAGAAGTTCATGTTCTTCCAACTGTATTGACTTTGTGTTTTTCCTTTGCTTTCTCATTCCCAGGGGCTCTGTAAAGTGGAGTTTATTCTTGATATGTTTTTAGATATTACAACCTGTGCAAGTCAATTAGAGAGATATAAGAGAGGTGATGAGATCACAAGGGTAGCAAGGTTAAGCTGTTGATAAATTCATACTGAATGGGCTGCTAGAAGGTGGGGCCTGGTTGGAGGAAGTGGGTCACTGGAAGTGTGTCTTTTAAGGAAATATCGTCACCAGGCCCCTTTGTTTTGCCTTCTGCTTCCTGGCAGCCATGAGGGGAGCAACTCTGCACCACCTACCCCATCCCTCCTGCAACTGCTTGATAAGGCCCTGACATCCTTCCTGGTTTGTTAACTTACTCAGAGAAATTGTGAAAAATTATTAAATCTGAAATCGCATTCTGTGAAATTGGGCACCCTCTGTAGAGATAGGTGGTATACCATGAAGAACAAATCTTTAGTATAAAGGATATTCAGTTTAAAGATGCCTCATACTAGCTCTTTCTGTACAAATTCAGTCACGCAGAACTTTTATTGAGTCCTTACTGCATATTAGGTACTATTATAGGTACAGAGGAGAGAGGGGTAAATAAAACTGATGTCAGGAAGCTTACATAGCAATGGAGGAGATAGCCAAAACACACATGCAAAATGAGTAAGATTCCTTCAGGCTGGGATAAATGCTATGAAGAAAGTGTAGTAATATGAAAGAAAAGGACTAAGTGAGAGAGTAGGCTTCTTTTTTCTTTTTAATCAACATGTGATATTACCATGCAATAATTATACATACTTGTGGGGTACAGCGTGATGGTTTCAACACATGTAAACAATGTATAATGATTGGTACATGGTAACTAGCATTTTCATCTCCTTATCATTTCTTTGTATTTGGAGCTTTGAGCTCCTGTCTTTCAGCTCTTCTCAAATATGTAATAGGTCTTTCTAAGCTATAGTTACCCTACTATGCTGTAATACACTAGAACTTATCGCTCTCTCTAACTGGATTTTGGTACTTATTATACAATATCCTTCTATCCACTTCTTCTTCTCCTTGCCAGAATCATCACTATTCTTCTCTCTTCTGTTTAAGATCAATTTTTTTTTTAGCTTCCATATATGAGAGAGAACATATGGTATTTATCTTTCTGTGCCTGGATTATTTTGCCTATCATAATGTCCCCTAGCTTCATCTGTTTTGCTGCAAATGACAGGATTTCATTATTTTATGACTGTATATTTCATTATACATATATGTATCACATTTTCTTTGTCCACTCATCTGTTGATGAACAACTAGGTTCATTCCATATCTTGACTATTGTGAATAGTGCTACAATAAATATGGGCATGCAGGTATCTCTGTAATACGAATTGCATTTCCTTTGGGTATATACCCAGAAGTGGGATAGCTGGATCATATGGTAGATCTAGATAAGCTCCTTTTTTTTTTTTTTTTTTTTTTTTTTGATATTGGACTTTGAACTTAGAGCCTTGTGCTTACTCTACCACTTGAGCCACACTTCCGGCCCTCTACTTTTAACTTTTTGAGGACCTCCACACTATTCTCCATAATGGCTGTACTCATGTACATTTGACAGTGCGTTACTGTAGAAGAGGAGGTCAAGGCCAGCACATGGGTGGCAGGGCCTAGGTGCGACAAAGGAGAAGTATTTTAGGTAATACTTGTGTATGGGCAAAAAAACCTCAAGGACTCTAATTGTAAAAATTGCATACCAGTTGATTCTGGTTTACTATGTACCAGGTGATCCAGACACACAGTAAAATTGGAAAGTACTGGAATCTCAACGTCTTCTGTAGCTCCCTGCAAATCCCAGTGTGGTAGGTGCAGGAATTGGAATTGTCAGCTATCACTAGAAAAATGACATGGTTAACAGTGCTGCTTCCTTTGTAACACATCAGCCAGGCTCTAAGAAAAGAAAGACCATGGTATTATCAAACCTTAGGGTTATATGACTTCTTGGTTGGCCCCTTGTTTTACAGATTGCAGTTCCTCCAGAAGTGACCAGCTGTGCTTGGTGCCAGAGTCAGGATAGAAGAGAGTCAGTTTCTTCTCTTTGTGCCGTCTTTTAAATATTGAAGAGGGTGGTTTGGAAATAATTCCCTCCTTGGTCTTGGTTTTTATCATTCTATGAGAGTGAACTAAGAAAATACACGTGACAACCAGGTCCACCCAGAGAGAGGCAAATTTCAGCTGAACACTAGGAGCAATTCGAAGATTCAGAGCTACTCATCAATGCAAGTGCCTGGTATAAATGTTAGGAGTTTGCAATACCCTCTCACAGGTTGCTGGTAGTGAGCTTGCCTGGACTAGGGCTTCCCAACAGGCATAATTTGTATCTTTTCATTTTCCCCATATCCTGTAACAGTGTTGCTAAAAATTGACTTTAAGAAGAAATGTTCAAACACTAAACTGAAGTGTACAATTTAAGATTTTTTTCATATGAATATACTGTGGTTTACTCACTCCCAGATAAAAAAACAGAACAAGGACTCCAGAGCTTCCCTCTTGCTCCTTCCCAGTCAGTAATATTCTCCCCCTCCGTAACTGCTGTTCTTACTTCACTCAGCATGTTAGTTTTGAACTGCATTTAAAAAGTCTCCGTTTTCCACTTAACATTCTTAGTAGGCTCATTTTTTACAACTTACAACTCTTGCCCTAAGAAGTGACAATCGCTGTAACAATGGTTTTACACGACAGGCACGTTTTCCCCAATACACATTGAGAGGGGCACATAGGTTTCTGCGTGTACAACTAATACAATCTCCTGAGTCACTATTGGCACACGACCATATTTTGCTTCTCTGAAACCACCAGATGATTTCTGAGGTCCTTTGTAAGTTGAAGCCTATGATTTTGTGGTGATCAAGTAGCCAAAAGTTAACGGACTACACCATGACAACTCCGACCCAGTCACTGCTCTATTCATCCATCCATCCATCCATCCATTCGACACTTGTTCAATGGATTTTCTACGTTGTACACTTAAGAAAACCCCACTTCCCGATTTGAACTTGGGGTGGGGGAGAGAAGAGTAAATCATTTCAGGTAAGCGCCAGCTCTAGGAGGAAGGGCGGTTTCCGGAGATGGGGTGGAGACCAGAGGTGGGTGGGCATTTCCACGAGCCACAGCTGCCAGCTACCCAACTTTGATCACTTTGCCGCCAGGCAGCTGCTGGCGGTCAACCTCAGCTTCCCTTAGCAACCAGAGCACACCGCACAGAAGTCTCCTCATTGGTCGCATGGAGTTTGATAGGCAGCTCTGCTGTACAATCCCAGCTGTCGGCTTTGTATTCCCCCGCGCTTATTCACCGGAGGGCTTATTCACCCGGCCCTCCCCGGGCGTCCCGCCCATCTCCGGGCTGCTGGCGGCGCATGCGCGGGTGGGTTGGCGCTGTGTGCAGGGCCAGCGCGGAGCGGGGAAGCAGCGCGGAGCAGCGCTTGGGCTCTGTCGAGACCGCCGTGCCGGCTCCAGGCTTCGGCCGCCGCCTCAGCTGCCACCGGGTGGAGGAAGCGGTTGCCTTTTGTCTTTCTCCGCGGAGCTGCTCAGGCTCGGCCCACGGGGGAGCCCGGGGAGCCGCACGGTGAGAGCGCAACTTAGTTGACGGAGTTGGGGGAAGTTTCGCGGTTTGAGAAGGGGTCGGAGCGAGGAGCGCGGCCCCTCCCCCTGCGCGGCTGCTCGGGGGCGGGGGCTGCTGGGACGTGGGTGGGGGGGCGCGGCGGGACGGGCGGGGGGCGGACCCCTCCTCCCGTATTGTCTGCTCCGGGCTGCGGGCGGGGCTGGGGGGCGCGGCCGCCGGGGCCCCCGTGAGGCCTCCGATTGTCGGCGCCGGGCTCGCGCGGTTCCCCTGCCCCGGGGACGGACAGCCGTCCGGTAGGTCGAGCGGGTCGCACGGAGCCCACCGCGGTGGACAAGTGCTCGGGGCGCGAGGGAGCAGCTCCCCCGGGCTGCCGCGGACGGTAAAGAGCGGGCCGCGCCCGCCTTCGGGGGCTCTTCCGCGCCCTCTGCCCGGGCCGCGGCCCGCCGACCCGCGCGCGGCGGGGACGAGCGGAGGGAGCCCGGCCCGTGCGCTCCGCACGCGCGGCGGGGACCGTGCTGCTCGCTTGCCGCGTCCCCCACCTCCCCCAGCCCCAGGGCAGCTTCACTTTGAGATTTTTTTTTTCTTTTAATGCTATACTTTTTGTTGCTTGCTAAGCCACCCAGTATGCGAGTAGTTTAAAAAAATTGATGGGAAAAAAAAGTATATATATTTTTGAATTAAGAAAGGGTAGCAGGGTGCAGTGACCTTAGCTACTTGGGAGACTGAGCTCGGGGTGGATTGCAGTTCGAGGTCAGCCGGCAAATAGTTCTTATGACAGTCCCATCCCCCCCCCCAATAACCAGAGCAAAATGGACTTGTTCAGTCGTGCCAGTTCAAATCCCACTCTCACTTTAAAAAAAAAAAAAGGGATAGACAGGACTTTTTTTTTTTTTTTTTTGAGTAAATCTTACAGTAGGACGATTTGGTCCCATTTAAGTTTCTATATCCTGTTGGAAACTCAGTAATTCACAGTGAAAGTTGGATTGAGCAGTATTTCAGGCGTTCATTCTTTTCTTTAATTTCATCATAATGAAGTTTTTTTGAGACTTCATTGCCTCGGCGAATATGAAGTACACAGTAGAGTGCCTTTATTTTGGTCAGTACCCACACACCCTTGCTCCATTTTCTTTTCAGAAGCAGCAGCTACTCAGTTTTTTAAAGGGTTGAATCGCTCAGATTAGGGCAAATGCTGCAGTTTTTGAAAGTTCGTTGTAAGTTTGTAAAGGAGTGGTGATCAGTTGAGATAAATCAGTGTTACTGTTCTTGTACCCCTTCATGGTTGCTTGGGGATTTTTGGGCTTGCAGTAGTACAAGCCATGTTGAGTTTTGGGTGTACTCCTTCCACTGCACTCTGTTCTTTGAGTTTAAGATAGGAGAATAATCCTTTTTAAATTCCCCAGATGGATCTAGTTTAAATATCACTCACTCACAGAGGAACAAAATGACCAAAGCCTCATTGTTAATTTCAGTTGTATCCTTTTGCTATTTGCTGAATTAAAAAGCAAAGTTTGAGAAATATCTGCGTGTGCTATTTTGCTTTGATTTCTCATGTCGAGTGAGTAATGTGGAGAAGCAGTCTTGGATTTTTCTGGTTTGGTTGGCCTTTCTTTGCTTTCTTCACCTAATGAAGCCAAAGAATAATGTTCTTGAGGTTTAAGATTGAGGAGCTACAATCTTTGCTGTTTGTCTTCCTTTCCTGGTTGGGTGATTTTGTGTGATTGCGGGGAGGGAGGGAGGTTTACAGGTTGAAAGGAGTTACAAGGGAGGGATACGATGTAAACAAATACTAAATACTACTTACAAAATAAGTGACAGGTACACCAGTGGCTTTCCTTCTCTGGGTTGTGTTATGCGTACTTTTGCGTTAGGATTTCTCACAGTCTAGTTATTTGCCTGACTAAAGGGTAACTACAGGTGGCATAAATGGGCTCCTCTAGGCTTTGAACTTGTTAAGGGCTTTGATGGACGTTTTTCTTAACACAGTGCAAGCATTCACAGTGGGTTTGAATTGGGTGAAATGAATTTTAGAGGCTGGTGGTAGGGTCCATAGGAGACAGCCATTAACTCTGGCAACTTGTACAAAATGACAATACACTTGCACATTTGTGATGAAATATAGCCTATTTTTGAAAGGTTTGTAAACTCTTATTCCCCTTTTGTTTTTATTTTTCTAGATGGAGTCTTGCTGTGTAACCCAAATTGGCCTCAAACTCAGTATCGTCCTGTCTCAGCCCCCTGAGTGCTGAGATTACAGTTGTATACCACTATGCCTGGCTTCTCTAGCCCTTTTAATCTGTTGATTTGTTCTTGAAAAGAAGGTGAGGTTTAGATTGGACACTGTAGATTTCAAAAGAAGATTGCAGTTTAGAATTCCTGCCCCCACCCCCAGTTCCTTGGTGAAATTATTAAAACTGCTGGGCACATCCTTTCGCAACCCTGCCCATTTTCTATTGGGAAGTTGGAAGACAGTGCAGTTTAGAGGAGGGTACCCTCTTTGGAGCTAGATGAACTTGAGTTCAGGTCATTATGTTTCCTTTGAGTGGTTTTGTAGCCTTGAGAACCTTTCCTCTCAGCTTGTTTCCTACAGTATGCAGGGCAGTAACATACAGTGTCAGGAATGAATAAAGCCAAGTGAAGAAGTAGTGGCTGTTGCCTATTAGTTTGCGATGATAATTTTGATGCATTTTCTTAAAGCGATGCTTCTGAGTGTAGTGGTTTAGCTATTTCTTTCAGAAAGAAGCAATTCGGAGACTTGTGTGTGTATTTATATGTATATGTCTATATATATATATGTATATATATATATATATACATATGCAGGGGTCTTTTTTTGGAGTGGGGGGAGTGGGTCTGGGTTTTAAACTCAGGGCTTTGAGCTTATGAAGCAGGCACTTTACTGCTTGAGCCACTCCTCCAGTCCATTTTGCTTTGGTTCTTTTGGAAATGAGGTCTGTGGCAAACTATTTGTTACAGCTGGCCTCAAACTTCCAATCCTGATTTCAGCCTTCCAGGTAGCTAGGATTATAGGTGTGAGCCACAAGTGCCCAGCTCACATGTAGTTTTTTTAAAACATGCCACTTGAACTGAAGGATAGTAGAAGATAGTTTTATCTTTTTAATCACCTGTTAGTTTTCCTTTGACTGGGACTTGCAGAATGGCTTGGTAGGATAGAATTCTGTCTGATTGTAGTTTGGGAAGTAGTGAGAAATGGATCGTTTTCTATACTCATGATAGGATTATCTGAGTTACTTAGTGCCACATTTTGTTTCTTTACCTTAGTCTTGGAAAATAGTAATTATGGATTATTTTCCCTACTTATTTTGAGAAATGGACTACATTTCTCAAAGTTGCTTAAGATAAAACAGGAATGGGTGTTAACACAGTGTTAGAATTCACAACGCAGAGACTTCCTCACTTCCCCGTCAAGGTGCTAACATTTACAGAAGAAGCAATGATTTAAATCAGTTACACCAACTCAGGTTAGAATGCCTGAAATACCAAATGCAGTAGATATATTTTAGAACTATTTACTTGTTAAGGACATTGCTGTATGTTGAGGAAACATACAGATTGAGGGTAGAAAAATCCCCAACAACGCTTTGGTTATTGGGGATTTTTGGACTTCGATGCTCCCTTCTTTAAAGTTAACTTTTTAAGTACACACTAACAGTCTGGATCTATAGTTAATTACTGATGGGGAGAGGCATCTGTTTGGAAGTGGTGTCCTGTTATTCTTCAGTAGTCTGTTTTCCCCCTTGCTCCCCAGTGTCTTAACCATGGGAAGTAGGAAGAGAGGAAGAAGCTGTTAGTGGAAGGAAGTTTGTTTCATGTGCAGGTCTTCCTGTCTACCTTTAGGTTGATAGGGGCACACTAAGGAGGTCAAACCCATTTTTTTCAGTCCTTGGTGGAAAGATAGACCAACAGACCTGGTACTGAAATACTGTGATTGTCTGAATATTTGTTTTGGGCAATGGAGTGCTTTCTCTTTCTACTTCTGCGCTGCATTCTGTATCTGGGGAAGGCAGGTGTCTGTGAATTTGTGTGATGTGGATGGTGGGGATGGAAAGACGTTGTGAGGGATTTACCATTTATGTCACTTTGTAGCTTTTCTGTTGAAAATAAGTGTTTTTGAATTTTTGCTTTCTGGTCATTTGATAAGCTCATATTGACCATAGAACTAGCCTCTGCCACCCCAAATAATGAACTGTTCCTTAATGTTTAGGAATTAAATATGGCACACTACAATTAATTGGTCTTTTGAGCTAAAGATGTCAAGTAATGGGAAATACCTTAGGAGGTAAGAGTTTCACAGAGCCCGAGATGGTTTTCTGGTGGTGATTTTACTGAGAGCATGTGATGTGGGGGCCATAGGATCTGAAGTTCACACCCTCACATGCTGTTTACCGGCTCCGAGATCTTGAGAAAGCCACTTACCTACCTGAGACTTAGGAGCCTTGCGTGTAAGAAAAAAAATGAGATTCATTCTTATCCTATCCTCGGCATACCACTGCTGTGAAAGTACACATGGTAAAGTGCTATGTGTGGTGTAGTTCCATTGGTTTAGGTAAAATGCAAATCCCAGTACAAAAGAAAACATCCAACCAACTTTGTTAGTTTTCTTTTATAGAAGGTAATTAAAATAGCATAGCATTTTTATTGCCATTCTTCTTGCTTGGGAAAATGGATATTTTTCTTTTTACCTTCAATTCTTCTCACATTACCTTTTACGACATAGATTGTCATGGAGTATTTTCTAAACTAGATAAATTTTGGTTTACAGTGTTTGCTGTTAGACCCTAATTATTATGGATTCACAGGTGCTGACATTGGATGCCAGTGCTTGAAGTCAGTTGAAACCACAATAAACCAGGAACAGAGAATGTCAGGGCATTTCAAAAGAATATAAAGGAATCCAGTGTAGTCTGCTTTTTACCATCATTTTTATACTTAAAATTTAAAGAAAATTGGTTTATTTCAGTCAAGGGAGGGTGCCTCTTACGTGC